TAACCTTCGAACGATTGGGTGACTAAATATATCAACTGATGCTTCATAGTTATATTCAGAGTTTCTGATTTCAAGATACCAAATATTTTCATGTCTAACTCTAAAAGTTCAAATGGACAACCCAAAAGTTTTGAGGCTGTCTGTCTACAATGTGAATTATCTGTCAAATTTAATCTGTTCTTATAGGAACCGCTTCTATCACAACCTAATATCATATTTTTGATTTCATCATTTTTATCTGCTCATGACCTTTTTATTATTACTGCATATCCTTGGGTTTTAGAAAAGGCTTGTACATATTCAAGAAGTTCATTACAGTTAGAAAATTAATTAGACGAAAGTGTAAGCATTCGGTAAGGGATAGGGTATATACTATATATATTATAATGAGTTCTAATAGTTTAATAACTATGATTAATTAACCTAACTTTTCTTCAAACTCTTTTTTTTATTTTAGTTTTACTAACCAATTTGTATTATTTTAAAAATCTCACAATATTTATAAAACGAACAGTTCTTAGGTAATAGGTCTCAATTTTTAAGAGCAAAAAAAAAGAAAGAGAAAACTAATCATTATGTAGTCACATTTTTTATTTATTTACTAATTAAACCATTATTACATCATTCAATACACTATTATACTATCTATCATAGTGGAGTTTGAAATATAGTCTGGGATTGACTACATCCATCAAATCCTAACAAAGATCGCTAGTAACAATTTACAGAAAATTTATAAAATTTGTCTGCAATATGGTATAAGACATCAAGTATTCTTAGATAGTTAACCTAATAACTGATCTAGTAGGCTATATGTAAAGGTATCAAACTCGCTATTGTATTAAAAATGTTTATAAAATAATTATTAGAACTTATAAATGTAATGAAATTCATAAAATTTATTTAATTTTGAAGATTATCAACATATATAAAAACTTCGAATTCAATTTAAATTTACGAAAATTCAAGAGTTTAATTATATATGTTTAACATGTTTGAGGTAAGAAAGTTTTATTCTCATTAAGCAGCTATTAATGACTTATTCATAATCTGTATTATTATTTAACTGAAATTTATTCAGATTATAAAACTTTTAGGGATAGAACGGTTGCAATCGGCTATGATATTCATAGTCAGTTTTCTAACAATTGAGATGATTTTTTATTTTTGAGTTTTTAATTAAAGTCGTTCAGAATTATATACTGCATATCCCATATTATTAGTAAAAAGAACGATACCTTCTCTGGAACTCAGAATTTCAAAATTTGTTAAATCATAACTGATTATTAACTGCCATATAATAACTGGTTATAAATTAACAAATTTTGAAATTCTAAGTTCCAGAGAAAGTATCGTTCTTTTTACTTATAATATGGGATATACAGTATATAATTCTGAACAACTTTAATTAAAAATTCAAAAATAAAAAATTATCTCAATTTTTAGAAAACTAACTATGAATATCGTAGCCAATCATAACTGTTGCCATCTCTAGAAACATCAGAAAATTATTTAAAAAATTAAAAATCACATTTAAAACCCAGGCTGGATAAATTTAAGTTAAAATACATAATATATTTTCAGTATTTTATACTATATCGATTTCAAAGTTACAGTTAAGTATTTAATATTTGTTATTAATTTAACTTTTAACATAAAGTTATATTTTTATAGGCAATACTATGTCCGTTAACTGTAGTTATATGAAAAATAAATTAGTGGATTTTATGTAAATTATTGTTAGAGGAAATTCTATTTTGACCTGAGTTAAAATAGAATTTTCCAATTTTTTATTAATAAGCGATAATTATAATCACTATATGCTTAAATTAAATAACTTAACAAAAATAATACTTTAACAGCCACTTTACATGCCTTAAAACATTGAAGAATTTTTTTTTTTTTTGTTCACTGTAACTCTGCTTTTTTTTTTTTTTTTTTTTTTTACTATTCATTTTATCTTTCATCACCAGAGGTTTCACCTTTCACTAGAGGTTTTGCTATTCGCCAAAGTTTCATTACCTTTCGTCCTTTCGCCTTTTAGGTTCCATTTTTTGTCATTTTAGTAAAACAGTTTCGCCTAACAACTATACTTGTAATGCTAAATACTATTCTATTTTATGGCTAAAAACATTGTTAGTCTCACAATAATGACCAATTCATGAGCTATTATAATTTTTTGAATTTTATTATATATTTTATAATCAAATTGACAACTGTAAATTACATAACTTTTATTGATTTTGGAGAAATTAATACAAGTCACTCTCGATCATAATAAAGTGAAGTTAAACTCAATATAGTAAACTTTTAAAAAAATTTTATTAATGGAACAAATCACTTATTTAATAATAGCGACTTGATAATATGTGACTTATCTAACTAATGATTATCATACGAAATTTGGGAACATTTAAAGCATGATACACTCGTGATTGTACCTTTAATTAAAATTAGGGTTTGGGATAGTTCAATTAGAGTTAGGGTTAAAGCATTGTATTGTAAAATTGCCTTCCCGACATTTTTTATTAGTGTCCAAAGACAGGTTTAGATTGTCATTATTATTATTTTTAACTTTTCGCTCATTTTTTACTTCGTTGTGTAAACAAAATTTCATGATTTTGATTTGTAGATCTACACAAAAGTCACGTGTATACCATACTCTGAAATTTGCGATAAATATAGTTGTTCGTGTAACTTCTATATATATTCGAACTGCATGATATAGGTCCGAGGTAGATCGGAGGTTAGCTCGGATCACGAGGGGGTGGCATTAACAAATTTGGGGAATGGCAATAACAACTTTCTAATTTTAACATTTATAAATTTCTTTTGTTTATACTATACTTATACATGTGAACGAAGTCACGAGGCAATCATTTGTCACGGAATCAGTAATATGAAAGTAGTCGGAGATATGGAATTACGTTATGACATTTGAATAAGTATGAGGTAGGGTTGTTAACGGAGTTATTAACAACCCTAGTATGAGGTCATGTGAGAAAAGGTTATATAAGGAAAAAAAGATAGATTTTTTGTTTTTTCTCGACGCAAGTCTAGCTTTTCGTTAATCCCTCCCGCCCGCCCGTCCGTTAATTGCAAGGAGAAATGGCAGAATAATGTTATGGAAAAGAGTAGGTAGCCCGACTAATGATGCCTCTCGAAACTATTTTGGTGTGTCGAAACTATTTCGATAAATCCCATAGTTATTGAAATTCGAAAGTGTTATCGAAATTCGAAAGTCTTCTAAAGGTCAAACTTGTTTACCAAAGTAAGCGTTATTGAAGTCCAAGTTTATGCATTGTGTTATTTTTGTTTATTTATAATATACTAACACTAAAAAACTAATTTTTTATACTCCCGATTCAATATTT